GTTAAGTGCCTTGCTTAAAGGGGTCATATGATGTATTTGAACCTTAAACCGCATAAACACATTTCATTACACCAAATACACCAAATAATGTTATTTTTAGCAACATCATATGACCCCTTTAAGGGCACAATGCATGGGAAACTAATAATCCGAAAGGTCATGATTCACCCTCTCTGAGGTTTGAACCAGTTTTCTAGCACATGATCTTCAACCACTAAGCCAAGATCATGGAGCAACATTTTTTTTGTCCATTAATGTTTACGTGACCTAATTTGCGATGCTTTTAATGTTATTTTTTTATTTGAATGCAGTGCAAAGATTAATGTATATGTAATAGTACAACATCTATACTGAATACTTAAGAAAGAAAACTTAAGAAAGAAAGAAATAAAGAAAGAAGATTCAGAGAAGCTTCAGCTACTGAACTAGGTCAGACTTCCCCTGACTGCAGGTTCATTTACTCAGATGTAGCTACTGCAAGAGTTTGCATACAGTAAGTGCCAATGATCGCTCAGAGGTTTGTTAGTGCTGGTGAACACCATGTGAATCCTGTTATGCTGTGTCAAGAATATTTCTTTGCCATTTAATTTGGTTTATTGGCTTGATGATACAAAGGGACAAAAAGCTACGGTGGCTGAGAAGTGCTAAACAAATCACAATTCTGAAAACAAATGGATAAATGCTTGTCATTGGCATTTTGACGCGATCGACCCGGGTTCGATCCCATCTTTTGCCGAACTTTTTTTCTCTCCCTTTTTATTCAAGGGCAGTGAGTGATTTTCATATTATATTAACAGTGTAGACAGCAGTAGGTACTGTATATTACGCTGCTGTAAATTAATACACAGATCTAATATAAACATGCGGTTTCTTTCCCAGCTGTTTACCTTCAACGACTGTGTTTTTTTAAACATATAACTTATGTGTGTTTTTAAAGGGGTCGTCAGATGCCCATTTTCCACAAGTTGATATGATTCAAATTTCTCAATGGTAGTGTAAAAAACACTTTTTTTACCCTGTCAAAAAACAGCTCTTTTCAGAGCAAGCTGTTTTGTAGCATTTTCCTATGTTAATGAGCTATGCTGCCCCCGCCCCTCTCTTCCGAGCTGCTCTCTGAGGGACTGTTTACTTTAGCCGCATTCATTGTGAAACTTACTAATTAGCACATTATTAGGAAAGGCGATTTGTCATTAAAAAACCTTATACTCACTTCTTCTGTAGGTGAAGCGGGATCACGAATGATTCGCGCGAACATAGACACATTTAGATAGATCGGGGGCATATTCCCTTCAAAAACAAACGTAATCCACTGCGTCTTCAGCGGCTCAGATGTCGGGAGTAAATGACGACTGCTATGCTCATTATTACATCCAACAACAGAACACCTCAATCGCTTATTATGAGTCATTCTTGTCTACATCTGCTCCGGCGGTGAAACAATGGCGGACTGATGACAGCTCACTCAGGGTGGGTCTAAGGTAAGACGCCAGTCCAGTCTGTGCTGAAACGCTACTGTCAGTCAAACTACCGTGGGAGGGGCCTATTTTTGTGACGTCACACAGACAGGCATCTGAGATCGGCTTGATTTGAGAAACGGGTAAAGATTTTGGATTTTTATCATTATAGGGTGGTTGTGTACACACACTGCCAACACACATTTCAGTTCAAACAACTTGTAAAAGTGCATGTAGCATCCGATGACCCCTTTAACATAAACTTGTGTGTATTTGACAGTTTAAGCACAATAAGACATGAAAGAGAACAGTTTAGTACTCACATGGCGTGTCACGGCCGCTTTCTGATATATGCTTTCAGAAAATATATCAGAAGTTTAAACTGATATGGCTTTAAAACGCGCGATAGACATGATAATCAAAACCAAACAGATGTTTTTAGCAGAGTATCTGAGGTACGAGCTGTAAAGGCACAGCCCTATTCTGGAAAAGGGCAGGGAGCAGCAGCTCATTTGCATTTAAAAATACATGCACAAAACAGCCCGTTTCTGCCCTTTAAAGCCCTAGAAGTCCTGAAAGGGGAACATCACATTCTTACTTCAGTTTAAAGCAGTGATTCCCAACCATATTCCTGGAGCTGATGAGCCGATGACCTGAATCAAGTGTGTTTGATTAACATGCAAAATTTGCAGTGTTGGGACCCTTTCGAGAACATGGTTGGTTTAACCACAAAAATCTTCATCTTTGAGTCCACTGGTGTTCCAAAAGTGCTGAAGTACAGCACTGGGACTTTTAACTGTTTGCGTCCCTCCACTTGTTTTTGGACACCCCAAATGTCAGGCTGATGGGAATTTTGATTGAATTCTGCAGATCGGGATTTTCAGATAGCTTGTTTCATTGGATGGATGCAACTGTTAGTGTACTGGATCAACCAGTTCCCTGAAAAGTACACAAGCAGACTGTAAATTGCGAATACAAAAATATTATACATTAGCATACAGAACTGCAGTTACAGTTTCTCAGTATTTATCAAGTTTTTGCTAGACAATAGCATTTAAGCATAACTGAACATTTGAAATAGAATTGTGAATGACAACTGATCGTTATCATATTTCCTCTGTTTGCCACTGTCTCCTCCTCCTCTGTGTGTCTTACCCATCTTCATGCTTTGACCTTTATTGATGAGTAACGCTCAGTGGGTCAGTCATTTCAGCAGCTCTCAGCGTTATGCTGTGGTAAGTGATGCCCTGTCAAACATCATTTATTCTTATTTTTGCAATTTTATCAAATATTTTTCTGGATTACACATCTTGATTTGATGTTCTTTTTTATTTTGTAACATTGCAAGCTAAAATGTGTAATTAAATTTTTAGACAAAAATGTGAAACTGAATAATGTATCACTTCAGTTCAATTCTCTTATTTTAAAAATAATATTATTAATAAATAATATTACCAAACAATCTTTTTTTTTTACTTTTAAAATCTAGTCTGATAAAAGTTAAACAGTAAAATAAAGCTTTATTAAAATAGACTATATTGGTAGCACTGTAGCCTAACAAATAAAAAGATACACAGATAAGATACTATTAAGTTAGCCTACTTCTGTTTTTAAGCAGGAACTGATGTAATGAAATAATGTTTGTTTTGATATATTGGTCTGATGTTATGCATGAGGAATAAATTATAGCTCATGTAAATCATTTTCAGCTCTGAGAAAGGCTGTGTCAGTCATCTGAAGGCATGTTGCATTTGCTTCCTGTATTCATAGTTTCCATGTGACTACACATCCTTGCAGGAAGTTTTCCTCCATTGCCTGCCAGTTATTTTTTACCAGTTTTATACTAGATAGTAAGTACTAGTGTATTAAGACAGTGATATTACAAGACTAATTACAGCATACATCTTATTGATGATGTGTACTATATACAGGCAAGCATACACGGCCAGAATATGTACTCAGTACATTAAATTGCACAGTAAGCTTTGCCCTTTTGAAAACCATTAAAAACTAAATTCTCAATATGGCTTTAATGCATCAAGACAAGCTTGTTCTGCAGTTTAGTGCATGTTTTACCTTCCATGAATCCATGCCGGTCACGTGACATGAGAATGGGTACTTTTAGGAACGTTTTATAGTGTTTTTTTTTTTTTTAGTAGAAGCTCAGATTTTCAGAAAACTCCTTTTGTGTCCTATAGTAAACAAACATAAAAATGAAATGATTAAGTGATGATTAAAGGAAGACAGAATTATTATTATTATTATTATTATTATTTTTTTACATTTTTTCTTGGGTAAAGTAATGGAACCCCTATAGGGGAGAAAACAGGCTAATATATGGCACTAGAGTGATGTTTAACATTTGTTACAAAAGTGACATTTCCTTTAAAGAATGTGTTGCCCTGCTAAGCCCAATGAGAAGTTTTTGGTTTTCATGTGGGCTGGTATTTTAGGGTCTGAGGCTGTTTTCTAGGGTCATGAGGTTTGCAAGTAAAACAAGAATAGAGAGGTGGTACTTCCTGACCTCAGGTGCAACTCCAACAGTTTTTGACGTACTGTAGCGCCCGTTTAAGAAAGTCATATTTGTCAAGACTGTATTTAAACTAAGCATCTGATCTGCTGGTCCATCTTTAGCTATAACCATTCTCTAGAAATATGCTCATCGTCTCCCGGTTCCCTTTTCTTTTGCTTAAAAGAACACGTCCAGATTTCTCTTCTCTATTCGTCTTTAAAAATTTTATTTGTAGCTTTCACTTGGCCTTTAGTAGTGACAGGTTCAGTCTGACACGATAACAAAATCTGTGAATGTAAGGGTGAAAACCAAAATCACTCAACAAAAAGTACACAGGAATAATTGTGAGCAGTGGTGTACAAGTGAGAATGACGAGAAAACTGAAGAACAGGACGTGGTGTAAAGGTGTGAAAAAAACATCCCGCTGTATGAGCATCTGTGACATAAGGATGAAACAAGCAAACAGAACAAAAGATGTTCTACTTTGCAACTATTACATTTACAAAGTCAGCAATGGAGAATTTCATAATCAAACTTACAGAAAATCAACACATACTTGAAATATCTGTAATAGAAAAACAGATAACATATGCGTATATCTGTACCTAACTATAAATAACACATTGAACTGGATTTATAGTTTTCTAAGTGAAAATTGGGGAAAAAGCTTGTAAATTGCAAATACACTGGACTGGAATATTATAAGTTAGCATACAGAACTACAGTTATAGTTTCTCGGCATCTCTGTCTAGTGTTTTACTGGACAAGAGGATCCATAAGATTGATGAACAATTAACTTCTGAACAATGGTAGTTTGTCAGCCTGTAACATGCATCATACATCTACATTTCCCAGAGCACAACCTTTCATTGAGAAAGCAAAATGAGCATTTGAAAAAGAATTATGAATGACTGACAACTGATCTTTATCTTATTTCCTATTTCATACTCTGGTGCTCCCTGTCACTGTCTCCTCCTCCTCTGTCTGTCTGTCTTCTACGCATCTGCAAGCTGTGACCTTAATTAATGAGTAACTCTCTATGTGCCAATCATTTCAGCAGCTCTCGACTACTGTGAGATCCCACACTTACACAGGTACGTTTTCTTCCTTTCAAACCTTTTCCTTTTTCCGACTATTTATTATACATCTCCATCCATCATATATCCACACATCTACTTCACATCATTGATCAAATGAATGTTTTATATTTGTCATAATTTTACATTTGAATATATTCAGTGACCGTATAATTTTATTTATTTATTATTGAATGTATTTATTGCTATAATGTTTAGTGCATTTTTCTTCGCATATACTAAAATGCAATAAGAAAGAGTTTTGGAGGTGTTTCACTTCCAATTTTGATTAATTATTTAAGACTTTAGTTAAGTTAATGTTAAATGAAGTTAAATGTATTTCCAGCACGAACAGGCTGACTTTATTTCTACTGCAGCATGATACAAGGGAAGTACCAGGGGGTTACAAATATCACCTCCACAGATTTCAGGTTTCAATTACAGACATTCAGAGCTTTATTGTAAAACCCATGGTTTCCCATAAACGTACTGTAGGGTTCATGACACTTGAGGTACTACACTATCCAAAACTAACCACAAGCTCATCTTCAAAGAAATTGTACTTTTACCAGGAATGACCACTCAGGAAGGGGACAGACTGCTACCTCAGCAGCAAACATGAAGGTCACAGAAGATTTACATTGGTCTCATCAATGATGAGAAACTGAACTGCATTATAACTGATCGGCATCAGTGATGAATGCGCTTTGTGGCTACTGTGGTTTTACATTTTCTCTCTTTCTCTTGTTCAATTAAGAGATTCACTGAAATATGAAAACAACTTTGTGTGTGCCAAAGCTTCTGTGGCCACAGTAGCCACAAAGCGCATTCATCACTGATGCCTATCAGTCATAATGCAGTTCAATTTCTCATCATTGATGAGACCAATGTAAATCTCCTGTGACCTTCATGTTTGCTGACATGCTGACATGAGGGTGAATAAATGATGACAGGATTTTCATTTTTCGGTGATTGATGTGCTTTCAATCACGTCTCATTATTGCCCCCTTCTGGTCAAAACACGTTACTTCAGTAAAATAACTTCATAAACTTACATCTTGTACATATTTGTAAGATTATTAAGTAGAAGAGTAAAATTTTACCCTCAAACTTTAAACTGTAAATACACAAGACATAATGGTTTAGGTCAAGAAAAAGGGTAACACTTTACATTAAGGTTCCCTTTATAAAAGGGTTATAAAGGTGTTAATAAATGACTAATAACTCACTTACAAATGCATTATAAATCATTGATATGCAGTTATAAATGCATGAATAAAAGGGTGATTTTTATCCAATACCTGCCAAATAGTGAGACATTTTTAACTCACATGTTATAAATGCTTAACAAATATATTTATTAATACTTATGTCACTCAAAACCAGATTCCTGATTGTATTCATGATGCAACAAAAATGTATTATTTTAGCAAGACCGAAGAGTGTTGTATTTATGGTTTTCTTATTTATATCTAATGACTCATGTCATTTTTCTTACAATGTTTCTTACCAGAATCTACTTTGTACCTTACCCATGATTCTCCACAAAAGTTCATGATGCCTATCCACAGCAATGATTAGAAACCGATATATTTTGTTTATCAAGATGAAATTATCACCTTGATTTTTATTTTGGGGAAAAAATAATATAAGCACACCCATGACTTGATGAGATATTAATATTGAAATTAATAAATATTGATTTTAATTCCAATATTACCTGTGAACTTTAATGTAATGATCCATTAATTAATGATTTATAAACATTAATAACCTGTGAAAGTGCACCTTAATGTAAAGTGATCACCTGTGAACAACCGTTAGTAACCTGTGAAAGCGAACCTTAATGTAAAGTGAACATCTATGAATCAGTTATTAATGAATTATAAGCGTTAATAACATCTAAAAGTGAACCTTAATGTAAAGTGATCACCTGTGAACCATTTATTAAATTAATAAATGTAAGTAACCTGTGAAAGCGAACCTTAATGTAAAGTGAACATCTATGAATCAGTTATTAATGAATTATAAGCGTTAATAACATCTAAAAGTGAACCTTAATGTAAAGTGATCACCTGTGAACCATTTATTAAATTAATAAATGTAAGTAACCTGTGAAAGCGAACCTTAATGTAAAGTGAACATCTATGAATCAGTTATTAATGAATTATAAGCGTTAATAACATCTAAAAGTGAACCTTAATGTAAAGTGAACACCTGTGAACATTTATTTAATTAATAAATGTAAGTAACCTGTGAAAGCGAACCTTAATGTAAAGTGATCACCTGTGAACCATTTATTAAATTAATAAATGTAAGTAACCTGTGAAAGCGAACCTTAATGTAAAGTGAACATCTATGAATCAGTTATTAATGAATTATAAGCGTTAATAACATCTAAAAGTGAACCTTAATGTAAAGTGAACACCTGTGAACATTTATTAATGATCTATAAACGTTAGTAACCTGTGAAAGTGAACCTTAATGTAAAGTGAACATCTGTGAACCATTTATTAATGAGCTATAAACGTTAATAAAAGGCCTCCTGTAGCGACAGTCCTACATGTAAGCAGTTCTGGGGGAATGACGTATGAGGTCAGCGCTGCGCATGCGCCTGTGAGTCTCGTGAAAACCAACGTTTGTTTACAGGATCAAATTGTACACAGAAGCAGTTCCGGGAGCATGACGTATGGGGTCAGCGTTGCGCATGCGCCGGTGAGTCTCGTGAAACCCAACGTTTGTTTACAGGATCAAAAGAAGCAAAGTTTCCTTACTTTAGCAAAGGAAAACAAGTCTCCTCTTGGCTTATATCAAAATCCTCCGACATTCTTTACAAATCCTCGTTTTGTACTTCTAATTAGTGACCGTTGTTTTGTTTCGATCTCTCTGCTGCGTCACTTCTGAGCATCATGCGCAAAGCTGACCTCATACGTCATTCCCCCGGAACTGCTTCCGTGTAGTATTAAACATTAGTAACCAGTCAAAGTGAACTTTAATGTAAAATGGACACAATAAATTATTTATTGATTGATTGATTATTATTGCATACACAGAAAAAGTTTGTATTTTATGGTGAAATTAATTTTATTGTTGCACTACATTAGCAAACAACTTTCATCTTGAAACAAAAAGATTAATCTTTTCTTTTACAGCACACTGGAACATTACTGAGCATAACTCCACACAAAAAAATGACTTATAAAAGTAAACTCACATTATAACTAAGCATCAAATCTATACAACAAAATTGTTTGATAAATGCAAAATCAATAAAGGCACCTACATATTTATATTTGATCTAATTTAACAGTTTTGAGTAAATAATTAATTAAATGACTGAAAGCACAGTTACAGAACATTATCATATTAATAAGCAATCAGTAATTACTTTTTGATATCATGATAAAGCCCACTGTAACTTCAGTATTTGTTCATCCACACTTGCAGTAACGTTATCTGCGCGCGAGCGAACCGTCCGCGGGAGCGCCGGAGCGGTTATTTATTTGTATGGTAACGAATTAATTAAACTAGCAAAGCTATTACACATATAAACACTTGAACAATATACTCTGCAGTGTCACCTCACAGTTAGCTGACTCGTAAAATTAATAAACACATTGTGAGAGCACGCCTCAGAGCACGTTGGAACAATCCTAACAGCTTAACTTCTTCTTTCAAAACGTGACTTTACATCGGATGCTCGCTAGCGCCATTCACAGGCTTTGGTGACACACAGGCGATTACAGACACGCAGGCTTTGGTGATGTGATCCTGAAATAATATAATAAAAATGCATTATATGCAATTAAAATTATTTTTATTAGTAGTAGTAGCTATATACTTAAAAAAAAAACATATTTGTCACAGATTGTATTGAAGGGCAGCGAGGAAGCCAGGCTTTGGTGACACACAGGCAACTACAGACACGCAGGCTTTGGTGATGTGATCCTGAAATAATATAATAAAAATGCATTATATGCAATTAAAATTATTTTTATTAGTAGTAGTAGCTATATACTTAAAAAAAAAACATATTTGTCACAGATTGTATTGAAGGGCAGCGAGGAAGCAGGATTCAGATGCAGCAGTACCTATTGTTTATTAAGACGATTACTGAACTCAGGGAAATGTAGGACAACAAACCATTCACATAAAAACGAATTTAGGCAACCAAATACTAAAACTCTACTACTCTATACTGTAGGCATATAATAGACAAAAAGGGAGAAAGGAACAAAATACAACAGAATGCAATAATATAAAAAAAGAATCACTAAGCAAACAAACACAAAACTAAATGTGACATTATATAAATACATTATATATTACATCTTATAATAATATGTAGAAACAACATTAGAAATCTGTGAAAATTCATGTACATTATATGTTGTTTTACAACTTCTGATCCTTTCTGGTGTGCAAATTTGTGATTCTTTATTTATTTATTTATTTGTTTGTTTGTTTATTATGCACTGTTACATTTTGGAAATAAAAAAGGATCACATCACCAAAGCCTGCGTGTCTGTAATCGCCTGTGTGTCACCAAAGCCTGTGAATGGCGCTAGCGAGCATCCGATGTAAAGTCATGTTTTCAAAGAAGAAGAAGAAGTTAAACTGTTAGGATTGTTCCAACGTGCTCTGAAGCAAAATTATAATCTCACATAGTGTTTATTAATTTTACGAGTCAGCTAACTGTGAGGTGACACTGCAGAGTATATTGTTCAAGTGTTTATATGTGTAATCGCTTTGTCAATTGAATTAATTCGTTACCATACAAATAAATAACTGCTCCGACACTCCCGCGGACGGTTCGCTCGCGCGCAGGTAACGTTACTGCAAGTGTGGATGAACAAATACTGAAGTTACAGTGGGTTTTATCATGATATCAAAAAGTAATTACTGTTTGCTTATATATGATATAATGTTCTGTAACTGCTTTCAATCATTGATTTAATTATTTACTCAAAACTGTTAAATTAGATCAAATATAAATATGTATATTTTTGGTGCTTAGTTATAAATTGCTGGAATGCTTTATTGTGTTTCTGAATTGTTTAATGTGAGTTTACTTTTATAAGCCACTTTCCATGTGCAGTTATGCTCAGTAATGTTCTTCAAGTAGTTTTGTTTACTGATATAGTGCATCATTAATACAATACATTTAACCGAGAAAAAAAACCTTCTGTGTGTGCATTAATAATTAATAAATGATTAGTGTGTCCACTTTACTTTAAAGTTCACTTTCACAGGTTAATGATGTTCATAACTATTAATAAATGGTTCACAGGTGTTCACTTTACATTAAGGTT